GAGAGAGAGAAAGGGATTGTTGTGGAGGAGAGGGAGGGGTTGTGGATGAATTTCCAAACTTACCCTCACTTTTGACAGAAAATTTAGCAGAGTTAGACGGAGGGACTACTGGTGCAACATAGCACCTAGTTGAGTGACCCCCGCAACTAATAATTGAATAGAGGGACCAAAGTGTAACTACGGGTATAGTTGAGGGACCATTGCTACGAATAACCCTTTTTTATATATAAAAATGATTATAGCCGCACGACTATACGCGGGATTTTTTTTTTTTTTTTAATAGAAAATTTAGTAACAAAAATGCAAGATGGTGATTTTGCAATCTCTTTGCCAACCAAAACAACAATTTCAAACAAAGATTTATGGGTATAGTAGTATGCGAGATGGTAGTATTCTTCATGCAAAGGGTTGTTTGAAATGTGAAAGGTGGGTAGTAGGACTCTAAAGGGTTGTTTTTTTGGCAACCATGATTTGGTTTAAATCCTACATTATCTTATGAGTGGGTTTTGACATTTTTGTATCTGACGATGGATATTTTGGTTCATCACATTCTCTTTTGTATAATCATTTAAACCCATCTGTTTTTTTACCCTTTTTACCGCAGTAATCAACTCACAAATGCAAAGAGAGCACAACACACCAGCTAGCTAACATTGGTGCAATGTTATACAAAAAAATAAAAATAAAACTTGGGAAAACCAATTTTGCCAAAATGAGAAGTGCCTAAAATATGGTACAGATTGGAGTCTCACAAATTACATGTAGCACGCCTCATCCCCCTTCCCAGTTTATACATATATCTTAAGGTTTGCCATTGCCCCCTCATCAACCACAACACAAACAACAACAACAAAAATTTCTTTTATTTTCTGATTTCTGATCTTGTTTTGAGGTCTTGAGGGCTTAGCTTCCTCCCCCCAACACCACCACCCACCTCCTCACTTTTTGCCCCTCTCTTTCTCCTCATACTCCAAACCCAGAAAAAGGTTTGCAGTAGCGCAAAAAACAGAGTTTTAATTCAAAAGGAGGAGAGAGGGATCTTTTTCCCAACCCCATACCACTATCCAAAAAACCATAGAATTTAGAAACCCATTACCCAGAAGAAAAGGTTTTAAATTAAAAAAAAAAGAAATGAAAAGAAGGATAGAGGGGTCGCCATAAAAAAGTGCAGCACAAAAGAAATTGTGATATTATATAAAGTATGTCTGTCTGGGTGTGATATTGACCTCCTGGGCCAACCAGAATCTGTCGTGGGTCTCTTAATTATTTGTGGCAATGACACCCAACAACGGCAGCGTTTCGGTGCTACCCAGCCAGGGAATGTTTCCGCTGGGATCGAGCGGCAGCGGAGGAGGAGGTGGGTACGTGGTGGAGGGCAACGACTGTCTAAAGAAAGGTCCGTGGACGGCGGCGGAGGACCAGATTTTAATGGAGTATGTGAGGAAACACGGAGAGGGCAATTGGAACGAGGTGCAGAGGAACTCTGGCCTCAATCGGTGTGGCAAGAGCGGCAGGCTTCGCTGGGCCAATCATCTCCGTCCCAACTTGAAGAAGGGCTCATTCTCTCTTGAGGAACAGAGGCTCATTCTTGAGCTGCACGCAAAGTATGGCAACAAATGGGCTCGCATGGCTTCTCAGGTAACCAAAATTAATTTTCATTTTCATAATAATTTCCTCATCTCATTTCTGGGTCTCTGATGTTTTGTGCTCCCCATGTTTTTGTTTTAGCAAAAAAAAAAAGAAAAAAAAAAGAAGAAGAAATGTTGGGGTTTGGTTCTAATTTTAGGTTTGCGTTTTCTTTTTTCGTTTAGTTACCTGGGCGAACAGACAACGAAATAAAGAACCACTGGAACACAAGGGTGAAGAGGAGGAAACGGCAAGGCCTACCGCTATATCCCCATGACATTAAACAATCCCAACAATCCCATTTCCATTCCCAAACAATCCCAAGTCTTACCCCACTCACAACCATAATCCAAAACCCTTTCCAACCCATCACCGATGGCTCAACCCCAACTTTTTCCTTCCATACCCAAAGCCAAACCCAAGCCCATCATTTGCCCCCACTCTCCCCCACTCCACCATCTCTCTCTCCCCTCTCCTCCCCACACCGGCCCAAGCCCACTGCTCTCACTCCCTTCCCTCATTTTGATCCCATAAACTCCCCCTCCTCTTCCTCCTTCTCCTCCTCCACACCCTCCTTCACCTTCCACCGTCCAGCTCCAATCCTCGGAGCCCCGTTGCGCCACAAAATGTTCCGGGACTCCATAGGATTCTCCCCACCACTCTCCCCAAACCCGGAAAGAAATACTTCCATGTTCCGTACCAGCTCAATGCCTGACATTGCCTCATTTCAATTGACAGGCTCCGACTCAATGCCTGATATGGCCTCCTTTCAGATGACAAGCACCAACTCGATGTCTGACATTGCCTGCTTTGAGTTCCCCAGGACTTTTAACCACTCTTTCCCGCCACTTTCCCTTTCTCAGTTCGATTTCTCCGACAGTTTGGTGTCACCTACCGGCCCAGTTTATTCAGTCCAGTCGGAGCTCTCTTCAAACCAAGTGTCCCAAACACAACTTAAGATTTCCATTGATAACAATGCAAGCTTGAGGGATGCGATAACACTAGCAGCCACCGATGAGACTCATTGCAATATCAGTTTGTTGGACGAATTCTTACAAGAAGCTTGCAGTGGTGGAAATAACTCAAGGAGCGCTACTGAGCTTTTGGGTTCATTTGAAGAGAAGCATGTGTTGGACGGTTATGGCCAGTGGTTGAAGTCTACAAGCTCCATTGATGGTCACCTTAATTCCATGCCTGAAGACTTTTCGAAGCTGTCCAATTCCATCCCTCCATCGGAGCCGGTCTCCAATTGGTATAGTGACAGTGGAGAAGTCTCCAATGCTCACTCTTCTGGCTTAACAGATGCTAGTTTGGAATTTGAAATGCAGCAAATGGCTTCAATGTTCCCTGATGTTGCCACAGCAGGCCATGGCATGGCCTCTAGCTCTTAGTGATCCAATACTCTTACAAAAAATATTCTAATCAATGTCAATTGATACTAAAAAAAAGATGACTCAAACAATGTGTAGCAGCTGCTGCCCTGGCTTGGATAGCTATAGGGGCTGGAGAACTTAGGGCTCGTTTGGTACACAGGACTGTCTTGGCATGGACTATGCTTACGGACTGTCTTGGCTTGGTTTTGTCTAAGTTGGATAACACTTATCCTGTGTTTGGTGTACGCTTGGACTAGGACTAGATTTTTTTTTTTTTTTTCAAAACTATCTATGTATATGTATAAATACATGTATTATGTATGTGTACATATGTATTTTATAATATATGTGACATGTATGTATGTATATTACAATATATATAATACATATATAATGTATATGTGTATATATGTGTGTATATGTATACTATAATACATACATGGTTATAACTACAAGGAAAAACCTTTTTTGCGACGAAATATTTAGCGACGAACCATATTTTGGTGGCCAAAAAGGGGTATCAGCGACGAAACGATTCCAATTGGTCGCCAAAAGGTTCGTGATATTTAGACATCCGTGATGACTTGAGTCAACTAAATAGAGACTAATTTCTTTGAAAGGGCGACGAAAGATTTTGGTGGCTAGACTAGGTCATGGCGACCAAATATATATTTGGTCGCGAATTTCTGAATTGTGTTCGCGCGAAACTCTAAAAGTTTTGGCGACGAAAATATTTGGTCGCTGAGGTTCAATGTTTTGTCGCTAAATTAGAATTCGCACTTAAAAATTTTGTGGGGTCGGCGACCACTTGTTTTTCGTCGCAGACCATCGTGCTTGGAAAATTTAAGCCATAAAACGACTTAGTTTTATATATGTTATCTTAAGGGCGACCAAATAGTTTTTGGGGCCAATCTAGAGAGTACAAATACAAAAATAAAAAATAAGTAATTCCCAACTCGTTATTTCCTCTCAGACCCACTCTCCGCTGCTCTGACATTGGCAAAGCAATCCTCCACCGACGTCGGCAAAGAGATCCTCCATCTCGCACGCCTTTCCATACCAGTGTCAGAAATCGACGGCCATCTGAAAACTCCATCTCCGAAATCCTCCTCACTATGTGTTTCAGCGGCAAGCTTCTGGTGAGTCTACCTTGTCTCGCTTACCTTCATTTTCTTTTGAGCTCTGATTTTCAGTTGTAGATTTCATTTGGTTGCTGAGAAAATAACCAAGGAAAATCCGAAATAGATACCCAGGAATTTAAATCAGACCTGATTTCAGTGCTTGATTTTTCCTTTTTGATATCTTAAATGCTTGAACATTCAATTGTCCAAGTATTCTGAATAAAATGACTTTTCCTTTTTCAAGTAGTTATTGTGGGTTCTGTGTCAAATTTGAGTAGGGTTTTGTGTCTGATATGAATGCCCTGTTTTCCATTTGATGTGGGTTCTGAGTCAAATTTGAGATGATTCACTTGCACACGTACCCATTATTTATTTCATTTTTTATGTTTTAATGCTTTGAGTCTGATTGATTGTTTTCCAAGTCATGAATGTTTGCTTGATACTTCTGGATTAAATCTGAATTTCTTTACTATCCGTGGGAAGAAAGAATATAACAATTCATTTATATAATTTAAGTAAAAAGTTAGAAGTTGGAAGTTGGTCATGTGGGTGTGTGTTCGTTTCAAGGTTTCTTTGCCTTTGTCTGTGAGCTTATGGTTTTGTTGTTGTTATTATTATTGCCAATGTAGCTTATTGAGTTCTCTTTATAGTTTAGATATAAGCTAGCTGTAGAGTTGTCTCTATATTTATATATAAGCTAGCTGCAGGGTCATGGTCCCATAGATTAACTCGTCAGTTTAGCAATTATTTTTCTTTCCCTTATAGCATTGGTGTCTGAGTGTAGTAC